AAAAAAAAAAAAAAAAAAAAAAAAAGAAGTAAGAAGAAGAAAAGAGGAAACAAGAAATAGCAAGAAAAAAAGGAAGAAAAAGGAACATCTATACGGTATCTCGATACGCGACGAGGTTCATTAAATTTTAATAAATCCACGGCCGCGGATTATCGAGTTTCGACGTCATTAAATGGTACGCTTTGTTAAACCGTAAGTAACGGACCCTCTTCTCGATCGGCTCATCATGCAGCGGAATTACAAAACGGAATGCATAAGATGGTCTAAAGAAATCCAGAGGTATTCGGTTTCGAACGGTGTACGAGGCGTCTTAAAGCTACACGATGCAAACTCAGCTAGCAACTGGACGAGAGGGTGGAACACACGAAAGGTTAGCATCAAAGCGGTGAGACTCACTTTCAGCGCGGGGATGTGGTACACGGTTAGTCCTCAGTGAGACCAGCTCTTTGCGCCGAAATCGGGTAGTCCTTAAGAAGACGTAGTTCGGTCTAGTTCCAGAGTACACAATTACACGGTAGCGCAGGATTAAGTCGAGACGGCGAAGCCGAGACGTTGAAATCGGCGAGAATTTAACCCTCAAAGGAGGGCTGCAATCGGGGATACATGATACCCCCGTATTCGGGACTTACGATCCACACTGGTCTTTAATGGAAAATCCTGGCGAGTTCGCAAATGGCACGGCGTAACCACTCAACAATCACGATTTTTACTCGAGTCACTCGATCACGATCAGATGTTGCCTCTTCTTGTGACGTAATTTATCCGAAGCGAGCAACGAGAATGAGACAAAAAAGAAAGAAGGAAACGACAACGGTTCCTTTCTCTCAGTCAAAAACACCAAGAAAAAACTTTTCCTTTCTTCCAAACGATCACTGATTCACAGCTGCACATTCACGATACACAAAAGAAGCAAACTATCACTGAGAGGATTTTACGATGGAATTCTCGCACTTACTGACGGATATACGTCGACGAACAAGTCTCGACCTTAGTGTTCCCTGATTCGCGTTAAATCTGGCAAAGAAGAAGAGCTTCTCTTCTCTGACGACAAAAGTGTGTCACGCGAGGAAGAAACCACCACCACAGCGATCGAACGATTCCACCGCCGTAGTCGTCGTTGGGGTATCAGAGGTCTCGTGTAAATGTTCTCTCTTTATCTCTCTCTCTGTTTCTCCACTCGTTCGTCCCTCGGTTCGTTGTTCGTTGTTCACCGTCGTGAGAAGAGCTTATCTCTCGCGCGACGACGTCCTCGGGTCAAGCACACACACACGATAGGGTCGCGAAAAACGGAGGTAGAACCGAAAGAGCCACGGATGAGATATGTAAATCCGAATGTATCGTGATGTGTCACTGTGGTCACACACCGATTTGCCCACAACGAACGCGACTAAGCGCGTACCTGTGTGCGTGTTTACGCGTACTCGCGAATCAAGTAACGGGGCCAGAGACGCGGCAACGCGACGCGTTCGTACTTTGCTATTTTATGATCCGTCCCTCCTCGTCAATGACGAACGAACGCAGGTGTTTCTTTTAATCAGGCGAGCACACGTCGTTACTCAACGACGCACGTCGAAAAATTCTACCCAGAACCGAATACGCACCAGCCCTAGGAGAGACCCTTAGGCCGGATCCGCGGAGTTTCCTTTCACCTCGATTTTCGGTCCCTTGCCACCCCCGCGCGAGTTGCACAGGCGCGAACCGCTTTCAGAATTTCCGAGGCTCGGGTACCGCGCACGTCGAAAGAGAGGGGAGCGCCCTCTCGCCGTTGTAGGAGAGACCGCTCGAAGAGGGAGAAAAGGGACGTTGGATATATCCTCCGTGTAGAAGAAGAGTGGAGGGACTATAGGGGTTGTTTGATAGTAGGGGTGAAACGCTGGAGAAGGTAGAAAGTTCTCTTGGTTGCCTCTACTCTGTCGTGGAATCGGGGGAAAAAGAGAGAGTGAGAGAGAGAGAGAGAGAGAGAGAGAGAGAGACCACTCTTCCCGCTTCGTGGAAATTCACATGACCAAGGGATGGAACACAGACGTGCGACACCAGGTCAGAGAGGAGAGTCCGTCTTATACACACCAGCAGTACTACGACAGACACCGTCAAAGTCCTGGGGTCTATGTACTTTTACGTATATTCGTATTCCACCAACGGTGGAAGTTGTATTGGTACAAGTTATTCG